GTGTGTGTGTGTGTGTGTGTGTGTGTGTGTGTGTGTATGTGTGTGTATGTGTGTGTGTGTGTATGTGTGAGATATTTGATTTAACCAAATAGATCTCCCTTAAATTTAAATTTTTATGGGAGACTTAAAAGTGTCCCTTAAAAAAGGAGATTTTAAGGTCTAAATTTTTTTTACCTATTCATATTTATTCCACTCAATTAATGTGATTTATTTATTTTCTATTATAAGTTTTATATCGTGATATATATCGTTACCGCCACCCATCATAATGTATATCGTGATATGAATTTTTTGCCATATCGCACATTCCTAATCTTCAGTTATTATTTTCAGTTACATCACTATAAATCACTTTTTACATTTTCTCTAAACTGAAACAAAGGTTTTTGTCTTTTTTCCCCTCTATACTGTATAGTACTATAAATAAATGCCTTTATTTTTACATTTGTTTAAATAAACTGTATTTTTTTTCCATTATTTTATACACGTTAAAACGGAACCAGATAACAGGACAGATACTTTGTCTTGAAGCCTTCAGTTTAAAACAAAATGCAGCCATGCACAACAAAACACTTTTGAAAAATATATATATATTGAAGAAAGCTCAGAAATCGGATTGTTAAATAGTTTTACTGTCAACAATGTAAATTAATCACTAAAAGAAATTCGTTGCCTAGCAAGGGTGTGTTCAAAGACAGGAAAGAATGGATTTGGGAGTATCAAATTTGTCATTCACAGATCATCCAATTGCAAATACCTCCTGTGCAATTGATGTCGCACAAGAAAAAAAATATATGCAGCCATAAATGGTAAATGGACTGTACTTGTATAGCGCCTTTCTACCCAACCAGGATACTCAAAGCGCTTCACACTACAATCAATAAAAAATAAATAAAAAATAKATGAACTGTTTGTGTGTGGGTGGATGCAGTGCAGTGGAAACCTTGTGGCAAATGATACCTGGCATCAATCCAGACAATACGTCTTTCCATGTAATCCACAGTGAGTCCATTGGGCCAGCCTCCACTGCCCGTYTCCCTGTGGATAGTGCGTCTGCCTTCACCGCTCATAGACGCCGCCTCTATCCTGGGGTAACTAGCATCCCAGTCGGTCCAAAACAAAATTCTGCCAACAGAAAGTTCCCAGTGTGAGGGCTTTACCAGATGTGCTTAGTATTTTAACAGGAGTAAAGTTTTATATAAAGTACAGTATGTTGAACAAATTAATCTTTATGGAAAAAAGTTTTGGAAATTCCGTTCGTTTTACTACAGTGACTTCAGAATCCCTTTATTTGTGCTTCTCACCCATCACGAGGGTCAAGAGCGATTGCCCGGGGGTGCTCTACTTTCCCAGCCAACAGGGTAGTTCTCATGGTCCCGTCCAGTTTGGCCACCTCAATCTGGTCCAGATTGCTCTCCACCCAGTAAATGTTTCCTGCTATCCAGTCCACAGCGAGGCCCTCTGGAGTAGCCAGGCCATACTGAATCACCACTTCAAAACTTGTCAGAGCTGAGCGGGGACACACACACACACACACACACACACACACACACACACACACACACACACACACACAC